TCCGGCGCCCAACGCGTAGGATCACGCGGATCGTATATCCCTCACCAAACACTCACTTCTGACCCTATTTCCTTGCCTCCAAAACACCCCAAACGCCATACAGCGGCCTTTGAAATGTCCGCAACCCCAATACAACTAAGAGACCCCCAAGCACCCACCGAACCCCACGAAGAATACACAGAACAAAAACAAAAAAGACTCCAAGTAGTCGGTCCAAACGGCCTCTACCAACCCTCCTCTCCACCCCCAACTTCCGCCCTACCATCCCCACCATCCTCGCATAAAACCGACCCACCACCCAATCCAATCCACGAACTCGACTCCCTCCCTAACCGCACCCCCTCATCCTCCTCAAACGACCACGATGACAACGAAGAAGAAGGCGAAGACATCATCACCTCTCTGACCGCAGACATCGAATCCGCAATGACACCCCAGGCCCCACTCCCACAATCCCTCAGCATAAACATACAAACCGCATCTCCACCCTCAGTAAAGCGAAACACACTACCTGCAAGTTTGATACCAGGCTACGCCAACACGCAAAGACCGTACACACCACCAGAAGATGAGGAAGCGGAACAAGGATCAAAAGGACTGGTGTGGGACGGCGACACAACGGGTCTAGCGTCGCCGCCGCTTACGCCCGCTCCGCTAGCAGTCTACAAGGCGTACCGGCCGCCGCCGTTGGCGGTGGGGACGCGGAGTGCAAGCTCCATGGAGGGAGATGAAGAGAAGAGGGAGAGAGAAGCGCGGTGTGCTGATCAAGAATGGAATCTAGGAGAGCACGCCCGGGCGTCGGTTGAGGAATTGTTGGATTCGAGTATACTGGCTATGGAGTATCAGGCTGAGTTACCGGAGTTTGATCACGGGTACGGGACTGCATGAGAAAGAGAGAAAAAAAGCAAGTTTGCCGCGCACACAGAGAAGAATGAGGGGTGGAAAGGAATAATGTATATTGCAATTGTTGCGATAAAGAAGGGTATATACACCTATATTCTCCCATGTACAGCAGTAACAAACCGAATCATACGTAGCTTTTTTTTTCGCTACAGTTTTTTTTTCACAATACAGTTTCTCACAACGGCACTTCTTCCATCATCTGCATGGCGCCTTCGCGACTGACAGTGATGATGACATCTCCGAGTGTCCGGGTGGAGAAGCCGGCCTCGGAGTATCTGAAGTAGTAATCCCATTTGCGCTTGAAAATCTCGGCACCTTCGTCGTCCATACCCTCGCTACTCTTTTCCTTAATGAGCTGCGGCTTGATGGTGGATTCCCAAGAGTCCAGGAACTTTTCGCGCCACAGCCGCAGGGCCTTGGCGTAGTGGGGCCCAATGTTCTCGATGCTGTCGACAATGAGAGCGCCCTCTGATCCCGTGTTGATTGACGCTACAAGCTCTGAGACGGCGGGAAGATGGCCACCGGGGAAAATGTAGCGGCGGATGAAGTCGTCTGATTTGGCATAGGCTTCGTATCTGGCATCAGGCATGGTAATGCATTGGAAGCATGCAATACCGCCTTCCTTCTTGAGCAGCTTGTCTATGCACTTGAAGTACGTGACGAGGTATTCTTTGCCGACAGCCTCCAGCATCTCAATTGACACAACCTTGTCAAAGGGTCCTGTTTCAGGGACTTGTAGGCTGCGGTAGTCGCAGAGAAGTACCGAAATCTTGTCGGACATGCCTGCTGCTCTTATGCGCTCCTCTGCCAGCTCTTTTTGTTCAATGGAAAGAGTGAGAGAAGTTACCCTGCAGCCTGTCCGCTCGACAGCCCGCATGGCAAAGCTTCCCCATCCAGTACCAATCTCCAGAACGTGATCTGTTCCCTTGATGCGTGTGTTATCAATGAAGCGGTCGAGCTTTCGCATTTGCGCCTCGTAGAGGGTTTCGTTCGCCGAGAGTGGGTTCGACTTTGGAAGCCATATCGGGCACGAATAGGTCATGTCTTGCGAGAGGAATGCAGCGAACATCTCGTTTGAAATGTCGTAGTGTGCAGAGATGTTGAGGCGAGCATTTCTGAGGTTGTTGCTACCTCTTAATAAACCAGCAAGGCCGCTAGAGATTGCAGAGGTGAAGGTTGAGCCGTTGGAGAGGTAGTTGCGGTTTAGGATGAAGAGCTGTATATGTAAGTTCCTCTGTAAATTGAGCAGTCCTCAACTTCTAAAGCTCACCTCGAAGAACTTGGTCAGATCCGGTGTTGAGACCTCTCCCAGCATGTAGCTCTCTGCAAAGCCCTATTTTCTTTTTGTAAGCATTCGGTCGTTCGGCCCCTCTCAAGTCTGTTGAGATGCTTACCATGTCTGCGAAAAGTGCAATTCGCACCCAGAACTTCTCGTCCCGCACATCTAGGAAAGCAATTGGAAGGCCTTCTTTGTCCGAACCAAATGCTACCGAGGACTTGCTGGAGCCGCCTTCGAATACCACCAGCTTACCATGCTTCAGATTCTGAAATTGTGAAAGGGTTCCATTTTTGCACAGGCTGACCAATGGTCCCCAACCCTGCGATGTGACTGGACTTAGGATTGAAGAGACCGCTCCTGTTACCGAACTGTATATTGCCATCTTTTCAGATTATTTTGCCGCGCAAGAGGTTCCAATTGCACTGCAGGTTCAAATACTCAATTGTGCGTCTAAATGTAGAAATACGACGATTGGTTCCTTTAAGCGCCTGATCAATATACAGGCCCCGCTGTGATGCGTTGGTGATGAGCGTGCGGGGTCACGTTATCGCTCAGATGATAGCCAATCGAGTTGCGACTAGTATGTGAAAAGGCCGAAAAGCAACGCTACAATGGTATCGCAAAGACACAGAGAAGGAAACGGTACGAGGAACATGAACAACAGAAAGCCGCTCAAGTCCGACGCAGGGCATACAACTCTATTTCAGAGCTCCAGGTAGCTTGCCGTCCGCTGGCCGGATTGGCCGAAAGCCGAACCGGAACATTTGTTTACGCCGTTTCGAAGCTATGCGCCTGGTGGGTACTATGGCAAGTGTGATGCAGCCGGTGAACCTTGCCACTTTTAGTGATCAATGACGCCGTCTATCCGCCTAGATATCGTGCGTGAGTGGTGCATGTCCGAGCCGGCAACACATGTACAGGGTACAAGGGACATGGCAGATTTGCAAATTCGCATGGAAGTCTGTTCCTGGATTGCCATGGATATTGCCATAGTTGAGAGGTACTGAAACGAAGAAGCTGTGGTGTAACACAGAGCCGCAGTTTAGAGTTCGAGAAGCATATGTTCCGAAGCTGGGTGAGGGGCAAGTTATGCAAGAGCATACATCTTAGCGTCTCGGGCCATTGGGGGCCTTGCGATCAGAGTCTGGGAGAGAATCGACGCCGGCAGATTGTGCGGACTCGCAAACACTCAATGGTTGCAGTTTGTAATCACTAGCTAGGGCCGAAGGCCTACCCTGGAAAGCCGGTGGTTCGATAGAAGCGGAGGCCTCGCATTCCGTTTGTTGTAAGATCGTATTGTTGTTCCGGACCGAGTCAAGGGCGAAGAGGTGCGCATATCACCATCATGTTAAACCTGGGGGGCGGGCCAAACATGTTGAAAAGAAGGTTAAAGAAGAAGAAGGAGAGGAAAACAAGGAAAACAGTTTGATTTTGTGCGCCTGTAGCTTGGTTAACTATATTGCAGCATCGTCATCATGAGCTGTACCACATGCACTTTTAGTCTATGCGCCGCGGACACGCCAGACGCTTACACATGGCGACGGCGCGTCAACGCGTCTTCCGCGGCTACGCTTCGCGTGTTGCCAACTACACCACAACCACACAGTCGATCGGTAAAATAACATCTACAAACGAAGCACGCCGTAATATTACCCAAAATGCTCGCTATACAGCCCTCCAAGCCCCAGAAGTGCACGCCAAACCTTCTCCCCGCACGCATAAACCACAATGGCCCTATCCCTTCAACCTCACAATACTGGAAGCCCTCCACCGATGACAAGGGCACCCAACACGCTCACTTTCGGGGTCGCCACCTCCACGGCACTGTTTTGCCTCTCCCAGAAAATTATACCGGCGCCATCCTCGCAGTCACCGAAAAGCAGTTACCGCAGTCGAGACGACCCACGGAGTCAGACGGTGACGAGACGATGGAGGACGGAGAAGAAGGGGCCATACCCGTAGAAGTCAAGATTGCAGAACAAGTGGGGGAATTCGACGAGGTCGTTATCTGGGGACACGGAGGGGAGGTGGACCCTGGACAGGACATGTTTGTCAAGGGACTAAAAGAATGGGTGGGATTTGCAGAGAGCATGCATCTTGACGCGGACGACGAGACAATCACAGAAGCGGAAACAGGGAAAGAAAAGAAGGGTTGAGGGATCGCCAGTATGCCGTGTTGGATTGTGAACGTCACGAGTGCTTGGTACACAGGACTATACGAGCAGAGTCGTATTAAGAAACGTGCATGATGTTTTGAAGAAACATGTGAGATGGGGTATAGAGGCATCAGCCTTGAATCGTTATCAAAACGATCAAAACAACGTCAAGTCTGATGCTCTGCTATTTGGCCACTTGGGTCTTATTCCATGCGGTCTTCTAGTGTGGAGACGACTATATGCAAAAGACGACGGGCATGACGAAGAAGCAGGCGTACATCAAGATGAAAGCGCCAATGTGACACTGCCTGAGATAAACTCAAAGTGTAACCAGGCAGAAAGGATATATCAATTGCATCTAGAAGACGAAAATACCGTACCAACGAATATGAAAAATCATGCCAACAAATTCTGAAAACCACACCAGCCAACATCAATCCCCCTCCCTCACACTTCCCATCCACTCCAACCACCCCCAGCCCACCCTCCCAATACTTCCTCGCCCAAATATCCCCATTCATCCATCCAAACCCACCACCAATACCACCAAACAGCAACACAAACGCGGCCCAAATTCCGCTCCCACACACATCCCACGCCCACCCGCTCTTCCTTCGCCACCCACTTATCAATCAGCAGTGGGGGTCTCCACTCACACACACTCACACGCACCCGCCTGCGCCTGCCGTCCTGCCACCTACGAAACCCGAGTAGCTGGGAATCCGAGGGTGCGAACGCGAGCTGCAGTAGGGGTTGGCTAGGTGCATGTTGTAGTGGGTGGTTTTAGTTTGATTTGGATGGTGCAAGGGAGGAAGTGAGGCTTTCCCAGGTGTGTGGGTGGTTATGGTTGGAGGGGAGGGGACAGGGTAAAGGAGGGTTGGATTGGGTTTGGGGATCCAGTGAGAGTTGTGTGTGGAGATTAGGTGGGATGATGGGGAGGGGGAGGAAGAGGGGGATTGGGGAATTGGGGAATCTTTTTCCTGTTTTTCTTTTTTTGTGAGGGACTTAGATGGGTGAATAGGTTTTGAAATTGATAGTTTGATCTATTTCGTATATCCTTGGCTGCCAAATTTCTGCCGTCTTCGCAACAAAATATCGGAAGATGGCCAAGACAGAGTTTGTCTCAATCCCCCCATTTTCACAATTTTGATTCACTCTCACCATTCATACCCGTATCCGAGAAATCAACAAAACTTTCTTCGCCATCGAAATGCCTAAATGACGCCAAGAACAGTCAGCAAAAGCCACAACCCATAGTGATTTGGTAAGACGTTTATCCAAACGGTTATCGCAAGGCAACACGTCATGTAAACTTCAGCCCAGTGGATGCCCAACCCCCGACTAACACCAACTTTGCATGTGGAAAAACAGCCAAAATCACATGAGCAATGATCACACGACGCAATCTTTAGAATATCAAAAGGTAAGAAAAAAAAACAGGTCACACTTACCAACCTCGTTCGGCACCACCAGACAAAAAAGATGTCTCAGAGTTGAGCTCACACTCCCAGTTCCCAGCGATGCCCTTTTCGGGGTCTGCCGACCTCCGAACAAATCTGGACAGACCAGCCGTATAGCACTTGAAGTCGTCTTCGTCGGGATTCTCCGGCATCCGACCTGTCAGTACCCTCCCAGCAGCAATCATAGTAGCCGCATGGGTGCAAAGCAGCACACTCTTGGGCTGCTCCGGATCATTATCGAGAGCCGTAACAATATGCTCTAGCGCTCTTCTCACACGTTGGTGTAACTCCACAATTGACTCGCCCCTGGATCCCGCCATGTGCATGGAAACGTAGTCGGCATCCAAGTTGTCAAAGTGCGGAGTCAGGAGCTCGAGACTGGGCGGCTCTGGGTGTTTAAAATGGGCGCGTCCAAAGAACTCCCTGTGCACAGACTGATGTATTAGTTACAGTAAACTCTCTTTGGTGTTCACACACTGGTGTCTTTTTTTCGCCAGAAGATCTACTGTAGGCCCGTACTTACCCTATCCCACGGTCGACCCTAATTTTACCCCTGGTCTTTTTCCCCTCATTGAAGTACGCGTCGCTGAATGGCTTCAGCGTCTGCAAGCAGCGATAAAACGGGCTAGAATAGATTCTGTCCACCGGAGGCTCGATTTTGGCGAGATAATTTGCCAGCTCCTTACTCTGGTGCACGCCTTTGGCCGTCAGTGGCGGGTCGGTCGGTATACCGGTTGGTGTGCGTGCCATGGACGCGGTGTAGACGCCTGTTTGAGGGTCCACCGACCAATTTGCCCGAAACTAGACATGACAAAGACACCGTCAGAATATGTCTTCATGATGACGGTCAGCAGATCGGAGTGGGGAGAGATCTTGACCCCAGGGTTTGACGGGGGCGGCTCATTTGGCGGAAGGGCTACTCCGTATGGCACATGACAAAGTTGAGAGGAAGGCGCGATGAGAAAAGGTAGCAATGCAAGGACGAATGGGACAGGTGAAAAAGGCCTAGGGAAATCAAGATTCATCTAACATGGCCCGTGGCGCATCTGACGCAACGATGAACCCAGGACGGCTTCTTACACAGTAGAGAGATAGCAAACTTTATACTTACCGCATGTCGGACAATATAGACAACCTCTATCATAGTCTCGGAATTTTTCCTTTCCGCACGCTTCGCTGACAGCGGCTATGATATTAGTGTTGAGCAGTGTTGGCTGTCAAGCGCACGTACGAATTGCCTTGCGATGAAGAGTTCGCTACCAATCTCCCCAAATGCCTCGGCTAATCACACTTCCGAGATGCCAGCTCTGCGCGTGCAATGCTCAAGAATAGCTATTCGTCTTGGGGGCCGCGGGGCTTGGGATTGATGATAATATTGGTCAGTGATTGCTGTGGTTGCACAATTTCCTTTCCCAATGGGAATATGTACATATGCAGTACTGCAAGCGATGTGAAACAATCGGACCGTTCCTCCCATCCCATGCCCGACCCTTTCGGATGCATGTGTACAGCCTACTAGTTAGTACTTACGCACGTTAGCAAATAGTCGTCATTCACGTGTGAAGCACCTTGCGTGGGTTCGTTGATCAGCGCGGCAGTCGAGACTTTTTGCTTTTGCAATTAAGCCACACACCGCATCATCGCCGTCGTCATCGGTAAATCCCACGCTTCTAGCCCTACGCATACAGTCGACCTGCGTAGGATCTGCTAGCGCAGCCCTCACTCGAGATATTTCAATAAAAATACATGTTTACCGCAATCGCGGTGGAGGAACGCGCCAGCCCTTGGACGAAGCGCACTGACGAGCTGCGTGAATTCACGTTCGCCCTGCTGACTGCTGACTGCGAATCTAGGAACGTACGCTTGCTTGACTATGTTGAAGCTTAATATCACTTTTAAGGGTCTAGGTGGACGGGAGGCTGGAACAGCTCCTTTACTCGTAGAAAAGGGAACGGCCATAACCATGGTCGGATGACCGGCGCATTCAATTTGATCCACGCAACATCAAGTCCTTCACATGCCCTTTGTGATTTGGGACTAGCGACGTCTTCCCTTTTGCTCGCGGGACGGTATCGCTAGCGGCGGTGCAATTTGCGAAGCGAAAAAGCGGTGCGCTGACGGTACTAAGGCTGAGGAGGAGCCTCGTAGGGCCACTAGGTTAGTTCTAAGGGAGGTTCGCAAGAGCACGGAGGGCGGACAAGTCGGTATGACTTAACACACTGTGTGTTTAGACCTGTAAGAAATTGTCCAGGGCCCTGGAATCTCCAAAACATTGAGCATTGATGGGCATTTGTGATTGGGCAGCCTTGTCCGCCGCCTCCAAGTGCGCCTCATTCGTTATAAGCAAAACGGCGTGATCTGGTACGCTCCGGCACTTGCCCTTATGGTTTCGGCATGTGCCATACTGGAGCCTGCTCAGAATGCGACTTGACACCGGTGCAGCCACCGACGATCGCGGCTGTCCTTGTGGTGTGGAGGGTGCTTTGCCGTCCAAGTTACACGTTGATATGCAGGATCGTGTAGCGTAAGTGGTGGAGTCATGTCCAAACTTTGTATATGATCAGCAAGGGTTCCAACGTTTCGAGAAGGCTAGGTTGTTGTCCGTCTCCATTGCGTTGGGTACTTGGAGGATCGCTTCGAGAAAAATTGGCTTGTGCGCGCTGCTGGGAGGACTTCTACGGTTAGAACCTCATCCCGAGCACTTCCGCCTGCCGGAAAACAATTACTTTTCTGGATAACGTAGCGAGCATCACGCGCACGGCTGTTATCCATTGCTGACACACATGTTAGCAATCAGGCATTTACCTGGGCAGTTTACGTGAGAAATCTCTGGGGTACTGTATGACGCTTCTACAACACCGTCTCTGTGGTGAGGGCACATGACCATGGCCTCGCCATCCGAAGGCGTCGTTGATGATCGCCGGACTAAACCAGGCTCGTCAGGACCGCTAACTTGGTACCAACGTAAAAAAGGAAGTGTGGGCTGATAATGCCGATGGGCTAAATGGGCCCCTGTCAGAAACTCGGGACCCAATTGAAGACTGACATTGTAACGTGCGCGGGATGGTGGTGCACTGCTACACCAGAATCAGCAAGGGTATGCGAATCAGCCCCTCATGACTCCTGTCCTCAGGGCTGCTAGCCACGCGAAGATAAGCCAGAAGTTAGCCACTTGCGATGCGCTAAACTAAGGCTGACAGTGGCTGTTGTAGTTTGGCAGATGTATGTAGCACCTCCTCAGTAGTCGCTGTATAGCGTGCAAGGAGCCATCGCGTGCGACGGCAGTTTAAAATAATCCCGTGTACCTGGAACAAAGCAGTGAGCGTCTTCAGCCTTGTGATTTGCTTCAGGTAGCTGTAACGTGGCTGACGTTGCCCCTGGTCGTGCGATCCAGAGAGATGGTGTTGTTAAGTCTCAACAGACACCGTCACTGGAGCCAAGATGCATTCTGCGCGCCCCTAGTCAACGAATCGGCGCAACTGTCGCGTGAATTCTGTACTATACTTGTCAGCTGTCATAGTGTAGCTACGTATGTATGTGCATAGGAGCACCCGAGAGCGAATTAGACGCTCGTCCTGCTCTTCTTCAAGCCCCCTTCTACTACTATAGAGTGGGCAGCGTTAATACTGGCGCAAAGGCATATTCTCGTTCATTTTAGCCTTACTTGGTTGACGGACCCACCTAGCTGGGTGGGAGTTGATGTCCTTGGCAATTGAGCGCCACTCACTCACGTGTGTAATCGATTGGGTATCCAGGGCTTACGCATGCCAATTTGTTGGATGAGAAGCATCCACTGTGTCAATGCTCAACAGTCATTGCGGCTGCATCCACCTTGACATTGATAGGCGGCTGCCCGTGTGATCCACTCCCGGGGTCGATTTGGTGGGGTAGAACCCTTTCATGACTTTCATGACGGTCTATCGCAACCAATAGCCCCCACTTGGAACGAGCACATGTTCCCGGACCTACCCGAGTCGAATGGAGCTGTGCTCATTCAGGTGCCATTGATAGAAAAAAACAAACAGTTGAGGTGTTTTGCTGAAGAAATAGGACGTGGGATGGTAGCACGGCACGAGGGGCTGAAGCAGGATCTGGACGTAATGAATACCACTGGACAGGAACCCATGCATGTAAGTACGTAGAACTTGTGATTGCAGAGGTGTTCGATTGCTTGGCAATGAAATCAGTGTATTGACTTGGAATTAATGGTTTTTGTTGATAGAAATCCGAGTGACTATGAAACTCAGCTGGAAAACAGAGTCAGTAAAGAGTTTCGTGATTTATCGTAGATGGCGTATTAGGGGCAGTGAAGAAACAAGAGCTTGTGAATGTAAAGCTGAGAGTGGCGTAATGGGAATCCGCGGAAACAACTTATTTTGCAACAGTGTCGTATAGTGGGATGTCTCCATTTGCCGCTCTAGTTGTGGCGCGTGGGGAGACCTTGCCTCTCATTCCAAGCTTTGTCTCAGTGACCCAGAGGCGTAGGGCGATAAGGTACCGCACAATGATGAAGATGACAATAGCCGCCACAAGAATGCCCATGATGTAGCCAGCAACAACACCCGAGGAATTCTTCTGGAGGTTAAGAAAGGGGTATACGTAAAAGCCTTGAGTGGCGTGGGTAAGGTAGGCCAAGCCAAGGTAACAAGCCAAGAGGAGAACAACGGGCACCAGGTCCAGCCAGGGCAATCTCGTGGTACTGGGGAAGAGGATTTCGCAAAATGCGTAGAGCGAATTGAGAGCGTGCTGTGACGTATTGGACCAGATGGAGAACGTGGTGGGAAAATCAGCCGCAAGGAGAGCCCAGAAAACAACTGGTTGACGTCGTCAGTTGCTTGAATAGATGCAACGCTAAGATGAGCTTAACTTACTGGTTACGATCCATGGATAGACGACAATGGTGGAGTAGAACATGCTGTGGGCGACCTGCAGCGGCTTGGGCCAACGCGCCAGGAACGACGTGCCCGTGAGCCAATAGCTAGCCGTGTGCACTGCAGAGAAGGCATAATAGAAAGCAAGACCCCAATACGTCAAGACGGTGAAAAAGGAAAAGGAAGACCGGGATTCCTCAGATCTGCCGTGCGTAGCGTTCCAGCCAAAGATGGTAAACAAGGTCGTAAATGCATACAGGGCCAGGAGTACGCGGTAGCCAAACAGAAGGCTGGGAGGCAGGGCCCAGGACGTCACAAATCGCGTGGGGTCGAAGTGCGCGGCGGAGTAGGGCGCTGTTATTCGGTGACCAATAGCCATGACGGGGGTCGAAGGGTGCCCTGTTCCCGTGCCGCAATAGCTGCCCAATCCTCGGAACGCACCGGTAAGAGAAGCGCGAGAGCGAGGAAGAAACGAACAACGGTGGTTGCAATGGTTTGTGAGCGGGTTTCGGGTGGTGGTGGTGATGCTGCGACGTGGTGTCGCGAGGGTACCAGCAAAACTCAATTTGCCCAATTTCCGAAGGCGAAGCTGAAAAGGGCTCCGTCTCCGATCCGAGTCAGGGCGGACTGCAAAGGGGGCGCTAAGGCAGCCGCAGTGTGCTATTCCGCTTTGGGCCTACGCCTGGTGATCAAGACGATACTCATCGCCTGTGCCTTCGTAATGTAACGAAACTACTCCCCCTGGCCCCCGCTTGGGCTCCCCACGCTTGCAGACATGGCTGGACGGCGAGGTCTGTTCCCACATGCATTCCCAGACGCTGCCGGGGTCATGCCTGCTCCTTGCTTTGCATACTGGCCGCCGGCATGTACTTCTGCATTCTACTTTAAGACTGCATGCCATCAAGTCTGACCACATATTACCCGGAATGCTCATGCAAACAACTCTACCTATCAGGCCTCCACCTCTACTCCATCTCTACGCTACTACGACGACGTCGGTTCCATCATCTCCAATCGAAACATGAGTGACTCGAGGATATCAGTACGCACTCTCTCTCTCGCTGCCCCCTCTATAGACCGTCACTGACCAATGGCAGCAGAAAGCGCAACACCTTGCTCGTATTCGGGACAACCAACGTGAGTCGTTCATGGTTTCCTACAGACTTGCTGTCCTGAGAGTCCATCTTGCCACTTTGTTCCATGTCGCTGCTCGCTTGTCTATCCTCCTTCACGGGAAGTCACGTGTCTGATCAGATTGCACACAGTGCTCGGTCTGTCAGATGCCCACAGAATCTCCACTAACACTTGTTCGTTACAGGACGCTCACGCGCTCGTCGTAAGGAATACCTGCAAGAACTCGAGACAAAGCTGCGCACCTATGAGCAGATCGGCATTGAGGCTTCATCAGAGATTCAGAGCGCTGCAAGGACAGTCCTTGAGGAGAACCGCAAGCTCAAGGCTATCCTCCGCGACCAAGGAATGTCCGAGCAAGAAGTATCAGCCGCCTTGGAAAACACACCAGACCAGCACAGCAAGCAACTCCCGGCGGCATCGAGACTGAGTGCAATGCTCGAAGGAAAGACCAAGCCAGACCCAAACGCCTCGACAACCGCCTACGTAGCTTCCCACACAAAGCCCATCTTAATCCCTCGACACACACCGCCAATCCAAACCATCACTTCCCTACCTCCACGATCCACGGATTTCGGTTACGATGATTCACCTAGCCCTGGCTCGATAGTATCGGCTATGAGCACCCCGCCTCCTTCTTCCTATTCCACCACGTTCTATGCCGCACCATCAACCCCACCTGGCACTGAGATCAAGATAGAGGACGTTGCCTACGACTATCCCTACAACCGCCCATACAACAGCTCTTGGACTCATTCAGGAGATTTTGGCTATCCGGCAGAACCATTCAATTACTACAACCGTTCTACATGTGTCGAAGCCGCCAACATTGTGAGCACAGCGCGATCGGACCCTGGAACAGAGCTGGACACCGGTATGGGGTACCGTTATCCTGATCAGTACGGCCAAATGAACAATGCGGCACTCCTTAACATGATGCATGGCTACTCCCACCATCCCACCCCCATGTGACTGGACAAGTCAGGCCGCTCAAACACATCGGCTCCACGTCACTACTAGCGAATCGACCTCTACATAGAGAAGACTCGCGGAGGATGAACCTCAACAAGAAGTCGCGAAGCTAGCCATGCTCAAGCCATGGCTCAGGTGTATGTTGATACATTTCACTGCATATCCAGCTTCGCCTCGCCATAGACACACACGATGCGTTCAACAGGGAGGGTTGCAGACCGGTGCTGCTCTTAACTGAAGACGTCCATATAGTGTGCCTCAATACCCATGTCGCCTTGGAGACCAAAACATCTCCTCCATACACAACGGATCGAATACCTTGTCAACAGCGTCATTTTTTTTTACCGACCTTTTTATTAGATTACGATATCTCTATAGACTGTGCTCAATTCCAGTAAGCACAATGAATGATTTCAGCTATTCAAGCACCTTGTCTCTTTGTTTACGCAGTCTCTTGCTGCTGTCATATCATTCTGGCCACCCTACGCACCTCTACCTTTGCGACAAAAGAACAACTGGAACATACTCCGTCTGCATCACAGGCATTTCGACAAATACTTGTTTTTCCACCTGAATTCTCTTGTCAGCTTTCAGTAATTGTTGTTTCATCCAATCTTGTAACATTTTTGTATCAAAGGATTGTGCCCATGTTTGGTGCATCCAAGGTCAATGCACACAATACATTGTATAACGGACCCCGGTAACGCTTCTAGTTTCTACGTTGTTTCTTTGTCCTTGGAATCGATCGGCACCCGGCAACTCTATAAATGCGGCACTCAGTGTTGTTATGCGCTAACAAAGGCGAAGTTTTGAAAGAACAAAAAACAAGTGTACATGTCAAACAAAGGCCTTTGTAAGAGCCACTCACGATGACTATTCATTTGAAGACATCTTATGGCACTCTGCCTCTGATGTTTTAGAATTCAAGAAATTTCGGAGTATCCACTGATCCAACATGCCACCCAAACGCCAAAGAAACAGAAACAAGAAAGGCCCAGTATCCAAGGGTCCCGACCTGCAGAAGGGTCCTGAAGATGCCAGCCGTGCATATATCCAGGTAGACTGGGCGATACCCAAGGCGAAGCGGAAAAATGATTTTGACCGAAAATACTTGAACGATTACGCTCGGCCTTTGTATGAGAGAGACCCGAACGAGCTACGACCAACGCAAGCAGGCTTGCCCGAGGCTCAAATACGCACGCCGATCTATCAGAAAGATGGCAAGGACATGTTTGCAGGAGATGCTAATCAATCCAGTGCAGCATTGCGTAGCTTTTACAATGAGATCAAGAAATTAAGTGTCAAAGAGCCAGACGGACTTCATGATATTGCTGCACTTACAGGGCAATTTGAAGAGGGGGACGAGAATGCTGCCGTGGTCCTATCCAGAGCGGAAAATCAAGAAATATTTGTCTTGGACACAGAACGACGTCTGCAAGTGTACGTAGGGCGATTTTAAGTTTTGTATTCCTCGGCTAACCTAGACTAGAACCGTCAATGATCAAACTGCTCACGTCGATTTCATCCGACGGGCACCATCAGGAGCGGAGAACCAGAGGCTAGGCCATTTTATCGAAGTCGCCCTAGAGACATCAATCACCGTCAATGGCATCACATACGTCAATCAGGGTGGTTCCTCGCCTGCACCCTTCTTCATTGGTCCTCTTGAAGACTTTGCCGTCATTGAGCTGCTTTCACAGCCGTTGTTCTTTTTCCGACATGAAGGTAGCTTAAAGTATAAGGCGACTACTAGGAAAGCTGCCCCAGATGAGATGGAGCGTCGCGACAGAAACGGAGATGTTGCCAGGGAGAATGTGGTAATCAGGTGGCTTCCAATTGGGTCACCTGAGGATACATCACAAGAAATTGGGAATGATGCAGAAACCACAGAATCCATGTCTGAACTTTTCCAAAATCTCGCAAATGAACAAATACAGCATGAGTTTGAGAAAGTCGGGGAAGTTGATGAAGTCGAGGAAGAAGAAGACGAATATTCCGACGCATTCACAGACGACGGCCGGCCAATCGAGAATCCGTCCAGCTATTTTAAAACACGCCTCAACCAACATTTGGAAGATAAAGTAGCTTCCCTCATCCCCAGGGTCATCGCTTCAGTCAACCACCGACAGCCAGAAAATGCTGGATTCAGTTTCATCCACAACAGTACCGTCTTCCGAGCGGGAAGAACGCTAATTACTGCCCTCACCCAGCAGTCTGGTCGCCATCTCCTAGTCGTAGCGCAGATCCGACAGCCAGACCAAAGAATCAGAGTCAGAGTCCTCTATCCGCTGCTCTGGCGTAGTTCAAGGAGTCATCGAGATAAGATCAATCAAAATTTGAAACGCTGGATTCTGGCGTCTGAATCGAGCAAGCAAACGACGGAGCATCTAGTCATGGATACCGAGTGGGTACCTTGTGCGCAGGCCACTACCCAAGAGGCTTCTTCCACATACACAGTTTTGAATGCGTGGGCCTTAGCCATGGGCTTAGAGCTTAACCCAGCATTTACTCCAGATCGCCACAGTTACGAAGCTTTCTTTATTCAAGCAGAGGGGATATTCCATCTCGCTTTGGAGAATGCCTTGACTTGGAAACTGCTTTTGTCGTTCTTTCGTTGCACTGGATTCGTGAAGCCAGCTATTACGACAGAAGCCAATGATGATGAAGATGCTGACCTACCAGCTAAGGATCGCCGTTTTGATCTGCGTAAGCGCCATTTCGACATTCTGATTGCTGATCAGACAAAAACCGACGAGACTTTCCCAGCAAAGAAGATAGAGACGAAGCAGATTCCCGTGCAACTCGAAGATGGCATTCTTCACAGCGAAACACCCTCGTCAGAGTCGCTCTCCAATGAAGAATTGAATGAGCTGATACCCCTTGTGCGTGAAGGAGGATGGTCACTGCAATATATGACGAATCAGCCGAACCAACACCTTTCTGAGGATACAGAAATGTCTGAAGAGCCTTCCGAGACGTTTTTGTCGCTGGAAGATTCACCTGTTCAGCCTCCTCAATTGGATACCATTCCCGTACCAGCTGAGTTCAACCCCTGCAAATATCTTCATGAAGAGCTGAACAAGCTAGCCAATGGTACCCAGATCACTCAGAACGATCTGCCGGAAGCACTTGCAACAGAGGTACCCCAGTTAACCAAGAACGAGATCCGAGAGAGCATAGCATCCGTCATCCGAGCCGTTAATCAACGCCACGCCCCAGGCGCAGGCTTCACCACCGAATCCTCCACAACTGAAGTCGAATCATCCATCACCAAAA